ACACACCCCCAAAATTTCCCTACACACATGCCATGTGGCAATCCTAAATCAGACTCCACCATCATGCCATGTGGTAATCCTAAACTCTAAGTGTCATCCAACAACATGCTGCCATCTCATCACTCTTGCCACATTAGACTTTCCACGTCAACATCTTCAACCTCCCATCATCCATCAACAGAAACCCTATCTTCCTCCTCTCTTAGGCCACCACGCGCCACCGTAGGGCCGCAACAGAAACATCAGTCTCTCGCCAGACTTTCACACCGCGAATCACGCGCAGCCTAACCTCCACCAGTCTCGCCGAACCACCATCATCTTCTCCTCTCTTATTTTGGCATTAGCTGCCAACTTCACGAACCTCCATGGACCACCTACAATCACAAACCCACCATGAATAATTCTCAAACCTTCATCATCTTCGTCCATCTTAAATTGCAAATCGTAGAATCACAAAATCAATTCGAAACAACCCCAATTCATTCATAAAGTTCCTCAATCTGCAACATGGGACCATAAATTGTGACACCTTCATCACATCACCACGGTCTCGTAGCTTCTCCTTCACCATGTTAACTCTCTAAATTTACCACTTTTTCTAGTCCTAGAAGTTGATTTTAGTTTCTTTTAGCTTCTTATTTTCTAGAATTAGATAGTTTGTAGATTTTTCTTTAATTTTAGAGTTTTGTAAAAATAGTGTTAATTTTTTGTTTTTAGAAGATAAATAGTATTTTTTTAATAAATAAGTACTTTGCTCTTTACTTTAAATGTGAAAATAAAATTGTTTTGTTGTTATAAGATTTTTTTTGCTGTTGTTTAACTCCTAATTCTTTTGTAGATCAAGTCTTTGGAAATAAATGGGAGTAAAAATTTTGGGATGGAATAAAACTGATTTGGGTTGAACAATGATGTGTTGCTGAAGCTGGTAGTGGGTCAACCAAGTTGGGTCTGCACTGATTTGAAGAAGCATTTGGTGTTGTTCTGAAAAGGAGTTTAATTAAGCCATTGGACAACATTGAAAGATAGGCTAATCGCTTGCATGGGCTGAAGCTACCAATTTCCTTTTGGACTTAATGAAACATTGTGTTTCAAGCAGCTAGGATACAATTTGCCCAAAGCTGAAGGAGTCTCTATACTTCGTGCTTCAATTCATGAAAAAAGGGCTTCTTTCCCCAAATTTTCTCAACCCCTAGAGTTAGGGTTCTTCAACGCAGAAAGAAGAAGAGGTGTTGTGACGAAGCTTTGACACGAGTTCCATGGGCCATTTTGGAAGAAGACTAGAAGATTCACGGCCCAAGAGGGAGATGGCCTAGAAGTGTTGATCGGTCAGAGTGAAGGTTTAAGGTTGACGGTTGAAGAATGAAGTAGAGTTAGTTGAAGATCAATCGAGAAGCTTCTGAGTTAATTTGTGATTCCTTCCCCTTTCCCCTATTTCTTTTATTTTCTTTCTTTTTCTGAATTTCCTTATATAAAGGGAAGTCTTGTAAAGTGTAAACGTGTGCATTGGGTGACAAACAACGTACTTAGATTCGGTTTTAAATTCTCTTGCTTTAGTTTTAGATTTGAAGATTTCTTAGAGTAGAAGAACTTGTTCTTTGCTTCACTGGGTTCTTGCAGCTTCCATTGGGTGACAGCCTGTGGATTCTTTGAACTCTGGTATCACTTGTATTTCGAATTTAGTTTTTAATGCAAAGTTTATGTTTGTATTTGTTCCATTTTACATTTCTTTTATTGCCCTTTCAATTCAATTTACATTTCTTGCAATTGCCATTTTAATTTTACAGCACTGCTACTTTTGGATTCTCTTTTTTCCTTTATGTTTCTTGCATTTATATTCTGTCCCATTTAATTCGCTTTTCCGAATTTTAAGTTTTTTATGTTACTAGTTGTTATCTTTGGTTAAAGCTATAATTATGAGTTAGATGTGCATAGAATTGAGGTATTGAATGAGAAATACCCTTTTAAGTTCTGAAATATGAATTAAAAAGTTTCAAATAGGGCTTAACTTTTCAAAATGTCTTTCTGAGACTAATTTAGATTCTATTGTCCATTATAATGCACATTTGTCCTGAATTTTGCTTTTACCTAATGTTCTTAGTTTTGTTTTCATTTGAATTTTTGGTATCACTATTGAGTAGATCTTAGGTTAGTTTGAATATTGATATCCCTTGTTTCCTTTTAATTGATTTTGTTGTATGAAGATTCAAATTCATTACATTGAACTTTTATTGTTTAGACCATGTATATAGATAGTGTGCATTAATTGATCATATGTTTCATGCATTTATCTTCTGTTTGCATTCATTCTCATATTTCAGTTTTGATTTCTTTTGCTTATTTTAGTGATTCATAGATTTAGGTTTTGTTATTGCATTGCATGAGTAGTAGTGTTCATTAGCATAGCTTATATTTAGGTTTGTTGGCTTTGAGGCAACTAAAAAGTTGTTCAACACACCACAAAATTCCTTCAAACCATCTTCATCGCAACCAAATCGCCTCACGAGCTCCTCCATTTCCAATCTCCATTGCGTCACCAACAACTAGGAAGGAGAACCCCTAATCGCAAAACCCCCTTTGACGTATCCATGATTTCCTACAAAGAAAAACCAGAAGCCAAAGAAATCCGTAAGGACTCATCGCATTGCACCACCATCAGGTTAACTATTCTCCACCACCAAAACAACCAAACTGCCACCGTGAATCACCCAATCAATCACAAACAAACCTGCAATTCAAATAAAAGGCTCTAATCATGCCCTAACTCGTCGAAATTTCAAACATGCGATTCAAAATCAGGAGACCCAATCGCGATCGTGAGTTCGCCTTGCAGAGTGCAAGCACCTCCTTCGAAACTCAAGCCACCCAAACTACAAGAGAATACACAGATTGCAAAACCCCCCCCAAATTCGTCCCTCTACCAAGACAACGAAACCACCGCGAATTCTCATCCTCTACCACAAAAACCAAGGGAGACAGAAATTATCACTCATTCACTCACTCAAACTCCTCCATTGGAAGCAATCATCCCTCACTCCTCTCACTTTTATTTTATCATGTATTTCACTCCATTCATTGATGGTTAAGCTTATAGGACTATTCCACTGTAATTTCATTATGGATTCTAAGGTTAAGTTGAATTAATGCATTTGTTTCTTTATATTATTGATTTGACTTATCCTTCTTCTATGTTTTTCATCTCTCAATCACATTAAAAGTAATGATTTTTGCATCATAAGGTATTTGAATCTACATGCATATTAATCATATGAGTTCAAGGGTTTTTAAGTTTGATTGAGAATGTACTTTGATTTAATTTAGGAACTTTAATATGATTAAATAGGTTTTTGCTACTAATTGATAATGTATTTTGATTGGTGGTAAGAATTTAAACTATAATTAATTAAGAATTTACTTTGACTAATTAGCTTTTAATTTGGTTAGGAGATTTAAGAATAGACATAATTAAAGACAATAGGATTCGATTGAGAATTTACTTTTAGTTGAATTCATTGTAAATAGTGTAGGAAGGTCCTGCTTTTGATCGATAATCTACTTTGATTATTGTAAGGTCGCCCTCAATTTGAAACCCGAACATTAATCAATTAATAATTTGTTGATAACCGATGATGAATCTATCTTGTAAAAGCAGTGGAATTAGCCTATTTCATCAAAATTATTTCTAAGTTTTCAATTTGTTTTTCAATTAAACTCACAACACATTCTTCGACATTAAAGCATTGCATAACAGTTACTAACCTTTTAAAAGTCGTCATAAAAGTCAAATATTGAAAAACAATTTCGTATTAGTTGGAAAAAGACTCAAGATTACTTTAATCTTATCTACTTTCTTAACTACTAACTTGATAATACTGAAGTTATCTTGTAAAATAATATTAATTTGATAGCTTCAAGATACAAAAATATACTATATAGATATTATCTACTTATAGATTTGAATATACAAAAAATTAATCATACGAAAACGGAAGACTAATATTACTTTAGTTTGAAGAAGAAAAGTTATCGAACGAAAGTTAAACAAATTTTATACAATAATAACTAAATCAACCACAACCAGCAACCTTTTTATATTTGAAAAATATATATGGCATATATTCTTTAATGTTATATATTGCTCGTTTCTAACATTTAGATATTTGGTTATTTGTTTGACTTTAGACTTTGATTGCGAATTTGTACTCTTGAACTAACCAAAAGACATACGCTTATGGGCACATGTTGTATTTTTATTGCAACAAAATTATATATATATATATATATATATATATATATATATATATATATATATATATATATATATATATATTTTCATGAAAATAATATTAAAAAATTATATAAAACAGATGAAGTTTTTAATTATTTTAAAATAAATAAATTATTCAACGATTTATTTTACTAAATAAATTATTTTTATTTATTAAGGAGTAAAATTATCTAATTAGAAAAATAATATTATAGAATGTTAAAAATATCATATCTTAATTATTAGCTTATAATAAACTTTAAACAAAAAAATATTTACAAAAATGACAAATGGTGATAACCCAAGTCGAAAAGAAAATTTAATCGGAAAAAGAATATAATAATATCACAATCCAACCAATACAAATACAAAGTCTACAAAGTACACATAATAATCAAAACCAATTTGCCAACCCAACACGTACAAATGAACATTTTGTACGTTATTGGTGGACTTTTTTTAACCGTTCAATAGTGAAACTTTTTCCTTGTCAAGCCGTATCTAACTATTCTCTGGTTTTTTCCATGAACATGTTCAGTATTCCAGGACTTCCTCAGACGAATATACTACGAATAAAATGAAACCCTTTTCGCCATAATTTCAACAACAACAAAAAAGTAAAAGAAAGTAAAGGAACATTATTGTTATCTTTCCCTGTGCTAATAGATATTTCCCCGTTTTTTAAATTTTCTCCCCTATTTTTTTTTTTGTGTGTAACTTGCATGATATTGTTTTGTGTTTTGGTTTTATCACTGAAATTGAAGATATTGGGGACCCGGAAGTAGCTGGTGATTCATGTGAGGCTGCTTGAAGATGAAGTTCCGTTGGGGGTTCTGGTTTTGGAGGGTGGTGTTAGGAAAATGGCAAGAGGAACTATGGTGTTTCTTTGGAGGGTACATCATGTTCTCATCCATGTGGGCAATCGCCGAAGGGTTCTTCTGAATGAAACAGGTACTATTGTTAATATCAGTGTTGTTGTTGTAGAAATTCTGCTGGGTTTCATGATCCAGATTCTCAGAGTTGAACAATGGTTCAGTTGTGTTTGGGTAATTACTGGAGTTATGGTTCTCTGATAAGATGGTGCTGAGCATGTAAAAGTCTGTTGCATCCAAGAGGTTGGAGAAGGATAGAGATTTTTGAGATATGAGTGTGGCTTGTGGAGGAGGGAGAAGAGGTGTTGCAGTGTTGGAGATTGCTGAAAAAGAAAAGCCTTCTTTCATTTGCTCTTCTTGATCTTCTGCTTCTTCTTGCTCTTTTATTTCCACTGTTTGTGCTGCCTCTGTGATTGAACTTAGACTGTGTTTCGACTTCTTGTATATCCGGCATAGAACCCAGTCATCCAACTAACAAAAAAAAAGTATTTAGTTAATTAATTAGTTACTGATAAAAGAATGATATTTATAGACTATATATATGAGAGAGAGAAAATAACAAGTCCCGAATATGTTTTTATTGAAAAAAAAAACAAGTGTTTATATACTATTACTGGTAGAAAATCCTCTTTTCTTCTCTGAATACATGTAGAAAAATACTCTTTTCCTTTATGCAGAAAATACCCTTTATAAATTAAATGAAATAAAGTACTTTACTCATTAGAAATCTTGATTGACCATATTTAGTACTTTTTAATCACAGTTTTTAATCTAAAAAATTATAAAATTCAAACTTCCATTTGAAGGGTCAGGATCTATATTCTGAAACATGCATAAGTTATTACATGACGAAGAAATGATTGTTTCACTTTTTAACACACACACACACACAAATTATACTAGATAAACCATTTAACAATTCACTTTTAGAAATATTTTATTAGTTGATAAAAGAAAATTAATTTTTGTATTTATAAAAAAATATAATAAATATAAAATTTGTAAAAATTTATTGATTATGAAAGTAATACTTTCTTAAACTGAAATGGTATTTCAGAAAAAAAAAATTATGAATGACAATAGGAGGGAGGTGAAGAAAAGTTGATGTATATTAAAAGTATGAAAATACATATATAGGAAAACTCACTCTCATGGAAGTGTCTTTGATCCTAACAGGTTTATTGGTGTCAACAAGGCGATATTCATGCATGATCCAATTGGTCTTGACACCCTTTGGGGGTTTTCCTTTGTAGAACACCAAAGCCTTCTTCACACCAAAATGTTCTCTCACTCCTCCACCCAATGATGCAACTATGTTCTTATCAGTGCCTGTTGCCTTCCAATACCCTGAAGCAGCTGCCCTGTTTGGCCGAGCTCCATTTGGGTACTTCCGGTCTCTCGGACTGAAAAAGTACCACTCTTTCTCCCCAAACGCAGCCTTAGCTGTTCAACAAACCAAAACCAAAACCAAAACCATCTTTCCCATCACAAAAAACAACACCACACAAATAACACACTTGACATGTGGTAAAGTTAGAAAAAGAGTAAGAGAGATCGATTCATTCCACTGCCCTACCATATAAAGTTATTTGGAAAAAAGTGATAAAAGAGATGAGAGAAATGATAGATTCAAATTTTTGATTAATAAATACTAACTATATTAACATTGTTGATATAAAACAATCTCAAACATTAGCATTAAAAGAAAAAATTTAAGCCATGAAAATTGGTCACTTCTCATGTTGTATATATAGTGACAGAAAAGGTGACAAACCTGGTAGCTCCCATGGATCACACTTGTAGATATCAACCTCAGCAATGATGGAAACTGGCAAAGGAATGGAGGCCACCTTTTTCCTAAGGTAATGAAGAATGAGCTCTTCATCTGTAGGGTGGAACCTAAATCCTGGGGGCAAGTTGTTGGATTGTGGGGTTCCCATAACCCTAATTCAACTAACTAACAAAGAAAACTATGCAAAGAGAAAGAATGTTTTTGGGTGTAAGGTTGGGTGGGTTTAGTGAAAAATGAACACAAAGACACAAGCTATAACCTTGAGAGAGGATTGAAATATTTGGGGTTTGAAGAGTGGAAGGCCTTTTATGGGTGTGGAATTTGTGAAGAGATTAGGCCAAGGCAGAAAAGGGGGATGAAGGTTCAAAGTTTTCCAAAGTAGGGACCATTTGAAGAGAGAGAAAGTAATGTGGTGGATGGCCAAAGTTAGAGAGAGAAAATGGTCACTTTGGCACACCATGGAAGGAACCCTAGATTGGCTTGTGAAATCACATACTCACACTTTCTATTTTGTCGTTTTGTAGGAAATCTATGACCTTGAAACGAGGGTCTTCACGATGTCGGGTAAGTGACTTAGTCATCATTGAGATAAGCTTGCCACACGTGTCCACCAAAATCAAGGTAGAATGATTGGTGGGTAACATTGTTTTGGAATTATTTTGATTCACTTTTGTTGGATTCTTTTATTAAAATATCTTTATTATCGTTTACTTATTTTTATTTAGTTTTACTTTAATATAAATTTCACTTCATTAAACCAATGTTTATAATTTACTTTCAGTTAATTTTACCTTTTCGCTATAATAAAAAAGTGAAGATTGTAAAATATTTTATAATAAGAATATAAAATGACGGGATTTATAATACAAATAGTGTAATTATTATTAGAATTATAATTTTAAATAAATTAGAAAATCTTATTATTAAAACTGAACTACAAATTTGCCTGGTAAATATAAGTACACGCAATCAAAGTTCAGTGAAATAAAAGATATTCAAATTTAATATGTTTTCAATTAATTGTATAGATTAATTTGGTTTTCTAAAACCCTATCATCTTCTCTATGGTGATTGAATGGGAATGGCGGCGCAAATAGCTACTAAGAACCGTTTGTTATAAAGGATAGCATTGACTATACTTCAAATAGTTTCTAATAATTAGCACTGAATTATAATTTTAATTTTCTTTAATCATAGGATGTGATTTTGATTTGTTCCTTTTGGTTTAGTATTAAAATCTTAATTTTCATTCAACTAATTGAATTTTAAAAGCTAAGGAATATGTTTAAGGTATCATAGAAATAAATTTAATTAATTAAAATACTTTCTATGAGAATTCTTCAATTTGACGTCTAGTTTTGTTTTCTGATTTTACTTTTTAAGTAAATATTGTTTTTAATTAAAATATTTATTTTATTAATTTTATTTTTCATGTGACGATTTCTCTAAATTTAATTATTTTTTAATTTAATCAATTTTTAAATTTAATTTTTTTAATTATAAAATTATTTACAAAATAAATAAAAATTATTTACTACAGAATTATAAAAATATTTTAACTTTCTAATAATAATAATATTTTTATTATCATAAAAAATGTTAACACATGTAATAATAAAATAACTAAATTTATGAAATTGATTATCGAACTAAAACTCTGAATTTTTTAAAATTAAAAAAATTAAGATTGTCGATAAAAATTAAAAAAAAATGATATTACAATGTAATAAATACATATCACATCAGTTAGTTAGATTGGATAATTGGAATTATATCATTGATTTAGACAGTGTATAGAATATTATTGATAAAAATAATAAAATGAACTAAGTTTTATAAAAAATTATTTAACTCAATTTTATATAATTTATATCAAAACTACTATTTAATAGTTCTTCTTTAATTTATGATGTCCAATATATAAAATAAATTATATCAGAAAGAGAATATTAACATTATATTATAATGTATTGTATTCAAGTGAAATTTTTGGATTTTCTTTTTATCTTTTGACATTTATATGTATTATTCATTATCATAAGTACTAACACAGCTGTGAATTCCAAATATTCACAATGAAGTTAGTTTTCTTTAACATGATTTATTTGTACTTAAAATAACAATTTTAAGATTCAAATAAAAGTCATAATTTTTTATCATTTATGTCAACCGAGCTTAGTTTTAATTAACTTTTAGAATTCTTTTTAAAAATTTTATCCTGTTTTTTTCTTTTTCATAAAAGTGATGAAAAAGTAATGAATACATATAAAAAATTAATGAATGAATTCATTTCAGATTAAATTTTTAAAAAATAAGAAGTGCTTAAAAAAATTTATATACTTTTTTATAATATTGTGGTAACTAAAATACAATGTTATTCAAGAATTCATCTTAATTTTTTTTAATTTTTTTTAATTTTATTAAAAACATATTTTCGCTTTATTTCTGGAATTTTTTATATTTTATAAGTATTTCATTAAATTATGTAGAATTCTTAGAAAATTCAGATTTTACGGATTTTTATAAAAAAATTAAAAATGTTATACAATATATGAAAAATTAATAATATTTTTTTTCAAGATAATTCTTGTCAGGATAGATAATATAATTATAAATAATAAAAAACATATGAATATTTAATGCATTGTAATATCTAGTATATCTAATATATATAAGAACTTAGAAAATAGAGTATTAGAGTGGATAAGTGTTTTAAAATAATGAGACTGATAATTTTAATTTTAAAATAATTCGATAATATAAATAGATGTTCTTAAAATCTTCTCATTATCTAAAAATACTAACCATCTCTCTAAAACTCTTTCTCTGAGTTCCTTTTCTCTTTTTTCTAAGATTTTTAACTCCTTGATCATTTGTTTGACAAGCCGGAAGTGCCTAGAAGATCACGGTAGTGCAATTTTCATTCTCTACCGATTAATTTTTGGTTAGAGAAAGTAAGTTTTTCTACTTCTTTTTTCTTTAACTCTTTGTCTATGATCATGCTTAAGAACCCTTCGCATGTGTTATTTGTACTTTATTCTTGGTTCTTTGTTAATATGAGGTTCTAAAGAACTCACTCCGATCACAATTCAGTGATTTGTAGAAGTTCCTAGAGTTTCTTGTGCTTAAAGCAGCTGTTGTGGGTTCTTAGAGTTGTGCTAATTTTCTTTGAGATAAGCTAGTTCTTGTTTTATGTTAGTATTTAGGGTGTGTAGTTTGTAGATATTGCATGTTTATGCTTGAAATGTTAGTTAATGTGTTGAGTAAGTGATCAATTGATCACATGATGATTGTTGACGATGAATGATTTTGTGTTAAACTCCAATTGTAGGATGAATAGTGTTGTTGCGATGTTTGGTGGTGTTGAATTTGGTTAAATGTGGAAGATAATTGAACTAGGTTGAATTGTAAGTGGTTTGGGTAAAAATATGGGGTTTTGGTATGTGAGTTTTTGAGTTAAGGGTTAAAAAGAAAAAATTAAGTCTTAGAGTCTCTTTGGATGTGATTTGAGATTTGTTAGAGTTCTGAATTGGTTGAAATCTGTTCTAGAAAGAGGTAGTATAGTACTTTGGTGGTGTTTTAGTTGCTTTTTGAGTTCATTTTGGGGGTTTAGACTAGTGAGGTTTTGAGTTAAAGGTTCTGTGCTAAAATGGAAGACTTGAAGTGTGTTTTTAAGTCATTACTTGTTAGAGTCCTTAAGTTACTAAAAAACAAGTTATAACTTGTGGAATTTAATTAAGGTCTCTAAAGTAAGATTTTAGTTATTTTTAAGTTGGAATCTAGTTGTAAAATAGTTGAAAACTAGGTTAATTTGGGTTATACACATTTGGTTAGGTCCATGATAATTTAGAATCTAATATAGGAGTGTTAAAAGTTGGTAAAAGTGTTTAGGATAGGTCATGTGAGTTTAGGAGTGCTCATTTTGCAATTTTGATGTTGCAGAATTATGCAGCGAGGTTAGGCAAATAAGAGCAGCTTGTTGAGCGAGCTTATGGGAGTTCTGACAGTGAGTTCCAATGGCAATGAGGTATGTAAGAGTTTTAAGGAGAATTCTTAATGGTTGTATCAAAGTGTTGTCGGTATGAATGTAGGGAGTTTAGTCTTGGAGATTATCTTGACACTCTAATGATCATTCATTCTTGATTAAAAAAGAGTGATACATGTGGTGAGAGTAGTTGGAGGTCTTAGTTTAGGTGCTTCTAGTATGACCTAAGACGCGGTACAAACTAACCTTGTGAGTGTAGCAATGTAAGTCTAGGTCAATGGCATGATTAGGATGTTTGAAATATTTATTGTGAAACATGATATACGTATGGAATATTGATATGTTATGATTAGTTTTGTATTACTAGCTTACCTTGTTTGTTTGCTCTTGCTTAGGTGTTCTTGTTCGTTCGTCTATTTTGGCTATGATCATCTAGTGGGTATGAGCAGAAAAAAGTGATGTGATAGTAGAGCAAGCTTTAGGTGGAGTTGACCCAGAGACATAGTAACTTTAGTGTTTATATGTTTATTAGTTATGTCTTAGCTATGGAGGTTTTAGATTATATCCTTATGCCTAGTTTTGTGCTTTGTATATAAAGTTTGTTTTTATAGTTATATTAAATGAGTATAAATTAATTTTATATTTTTGTTTGTCAACTCTCTACTTTAATAGTGATGTGATTATTTTTTTTATAGTATTAATAATATTAAAAAATGTCACAATATCCAAATTTAATACTCTACAAAAATATGTCACTGTTTTAAGATCCAAGTAATCTCATTGTTTAAAAAACAAGTGATGCAAATTTATTGTTTTCAAGTTTAAAAGAAATCAAATGTTATTTTAATATTTTGGCACTAGTTAAGTTGATTCCTTAAAAGAATATAATAAATCAAATTTAATTTACATAACTAAATAATTTTTTATAAAAATATTTATCATGTACATCTACACACACCAAACTTCTTTAAACTTCGATCTTTTTATAAGTAGTTATTCGAATGCTTTATTTTCAAAAGTGCATTCTTCTCACTTTTGATATATCTGTTTTCCTAAAAATTGATTTGTCTTTATTAAATTATTCGGTTTAAGAAAGTTATAGAAAATGGAAACATACCCAATCAAGATTTTTTTCATATATTTTTTGACCATTGACCAACTAACAATTTTTTAGTATTTTCGACCTTCTTGTCAATTGTATGATGAGAATGTGTTTTACAATAAATTCATAATATTAATATTGGCTATGTTTGCAGCATTACTCATTGTCATCATTCAAAATCTGCACAAAATGAAAGGCAATAAGAAGATATTCTAAAAAATCTTAAACAAAAACGACATTCTCAAAAGGAATTGTTCCACGTGGCATTCAGGAAACTAAAGTGGTATAATCCAATTTTGTGAGTGCTATGTTGTTGTTACGTGAAATCAGAAAATATGGAAGTGCTTTCATGTGGTCTAAAATAA